AACTGTTGACGTATTCATGTGTTTGTTACTTATGTACACTTGTGTTTTTTGATTGATTGATGGTTATTGTTCATTTATTGTTGATAACATTGGCATTGTTAGGGACAAATTAGCTGATTTTATTATTCATTGATTAGCACATTTAAACTCAAACTCTAATTAGCTAAGGTTAGGTTTTCTTTCTTTCCTTGATATATTTTCAGGATATCCTATCTCACATATTTATATGCATATGCTAATTATTGTACCTTTGTTAATTTCACTGAAGTAGATTACATTAAAGATTGTGGAGTTAAAGTGCCTGTGTGTGCCGCCTGGTTTTGTTGCCCCTGCTTCCGGTCTTGGTGACTATATCGATGAACCACATGTATCTTTCCTGTGCCGAGCCCCAAAATTTATCTTTCTCCTACACATTTGTCCCACTGAATCAATGATCTGTGAGGCTTTGTGAACGGTGTGTTACATAAAAAATATAATATTGAACAGCGATCTGTTCGTGTCAAAACAGCACATACAAATTGCGATAAGAGCGAAAATACAGTGTGTGCAGAAACAGTTTTCATGTTAAAAATACATACATTATTTCTGCAGTTCCAGATTATATAGTGCGATACGTTTATGCTACAAATTATTGTAACCAGGCCGAAACTTTCTCAAGTTTCCCCTAGAATCTTAATTTTTAGCAAACTTTGTGCTTGTCCCTCCTATTTATTCTATATCATATTAACCCAGGGTACGGATTACAATGTTTGATGTCAGGCCAAAGTATGATGCAATATTCGTACTGTAAATATTTTCCTCCATAAGATCTAGATCGATCGAGTTAGTGTGAGACGAAAACATATGATGCTACGTTTTATCATCACCTTATCAATCATGCATGGGAAACAATCACCTGTAACAAAATTTGCACGTATTCAAAATAATGGTGATAAACACGTGTCAATCTTAGTGAGCAAAGCAATAAATAGTCTTTCATGTTAAAGGCAGACCTACAGACGCTTTAGTGTATCAACTATGGCGTTTCGATTCGGAGCCTTCGTGCTCCTAACGCTGGGAGTGTTTGCACAAGGACAGGACAAACGATACTGTGAGGTAGTTGATCCTGCTAAGACCTTCCACGCATACAGCGCAGTGAGTCTTCACACAGGTGAACTGGTAACATTTGACCAGTATGAAGGCTGGACTCTACTGGTAGTCCCTTCCTCAACTTACTGAGGTAACTGTTTTGACAAATTCATTGCTATAATCAAATACACAACGTACATTAACACATACCTAAATCCAATAAGTAAGACTAAGTACCAGATTGCATTTTGTCGTCCGTTTTATTTGATTTGAGTTTTTTGAGTTGAATTTAGCTGGGATAACTGGCTTAGCCGTTGGTCGATTTAATATGTTGCTTTGTTTTTTTATTCGCGGATGATTTGGTTCTTTTGTGGACAATGTGAGTAAATTACATTTTTTGACAAATTCTTAACCAAGATGATTCCTACTATAACAAATATAAACTGGTAGTACATTTTAAGGTAACTAAAATTATAGTATTCAGATCTATTCCTGATCCGCTCAGGAATAACAACAAATCTATTAGTTGTACCATATTCCAATTATTTAGGTATTATATTTTTGTGTAGTGGCTTGTGGTGTGAAGCTTAGTTAGTTTTAGTTGACCAGGCTTTCAAGGCAAATGAATGTGTATTGCTATAGCAATGACGCTGTGACACTAAGCTTTACAATATTTGAGTCAAAAATATGACTCGTTTTCAATTATGTCAGCGAAATGACACATGAACGGGTCAGACTTAGAAAGGATTCATATGAAATATTTCAAATTAATTTTGAAAACTACACAAATATGTTAATGGTGATGCGAGGGGTGAGTTAGAGCGCTACGAGATCACTACGTACACCTTGTTGGCAATCAAGCAAATAATATCACTTTTTTGTTACTTTTAAACAACGATAGACATTTACTTTCAGCGCATGCGCTTAGCATTCAGAGCGGCAGACAATTGAAAATATCATAAGAACAGAGAATATGTCTGCGTGTCCCTTACTCTATTGATGTAGAGTACCACTCTCTGTTTATATGCCTAATCTCCGTCTATATAACAGATACCAGTATATCCATAAATGCTACTTTGAGCATCTAAGAAAAGATATACTAGCTCAATTAGTATCCTCCACGAAAGACAGTCGTCGATTGATTTATGCAAGTTTGTCATTTTGCGTTAAAACCTAGACATATCCATATGCCTCAGTAATGTATTGTTTTGTTAATGATATGTGCTGTAATCCAACATTTCTTTTCTTCTAGGTTTAACCCACCAGTACCTTGAATTGAATGAACTAGTAACTGAGTTTGCAGCTTACAATTTTACTATTCTTGCTTTTCCTGTGAACCAATTTTGTGAGTATAATATTCCCAATTTGTAGACGCCAACTATATAAATCAATAAGAGGCGAGCGATAGAACATTTTTTTTTCTTATTCATTCATTCAGTTAGTTAGTTATTTATCTATTTCTTTGTGTTTACGTTACACAGTGTTGCAAGAACCAGCAAATAATGATGAAATCCTAAATGGTTTAAGGGAAGTAAGACCAGGTGGAGGATATGTGCCCAACTTCCAAATTTTTGAAAAGTCGGACGCGAATGGCTTGGACCAATCAGATATTTGGATATATCTGAAGGTAAATAAGTATTTTATACTATAAAAACTATAAAATTAGAGGATGTGTTACCCAGTTGTCCCTTCTTATTCAAGGCTCATACCGACCGTGCGTCTGTTTGTCCTTATCTTAATATCGGATATGTCTTGACCGATGTATATGATGTTTATTCATTTATTGACCAGAATCAAGAAGGCCGAAGGGCGGCCATTTCAGGTAATCAAAATGAAACATTCCCTATCAAAGTTATGGAGGGATTTCATTCAAACTAACCGTTTATTCTAGATAATGTACCATATATCGTGTCTTACATATACACATGTATTTTTTTCATCATCCAATTAAAAATGACATATTGTCATCGAGCATTCTCACTGTTCAGGGACCGGATCGCAGTCGAGAATGAACACATTTCATTTGGTATATAAATTCCCTAACATCAATAATAATAGTATGTGCGATACAAGCAAATGAATCAACCTTTTATTGAGCCGACACTGCTTTGTATGTGTCAAGTTATTTCTAAGCATTAAACTCAATTTGGTGACACAGAGGATTCGTATTTATATGTATACCTGTGTCAAATTTTAGACTTCGAGTCACATTACATAATACAAAAACACAGTCCCGTTGATACTGCTGTAATATTCCTTTTTACAACTTGTTTAGGACAATTGCAAATCACCAGTAGAACCGATTGGGTACAGTGATGAGATGTTCTGGGATCCGTTCCATAATGATGACATTCGATGGACTTTTAGAGAAAGAATAATTATCGAACCCGACGGTCTTCCATATATACGTTACAATGACCCTACGGACCCCTACACTCCAGGCGGTTTGCGTGATGACATCGAGCAATATCTAAGGGATGGGTACATTGATTTGTAAAACAAAACAATTTATGAAATGTTAGAATTATGTCAGACAATTAAAAAAAACCAGTGTTTTTATGTTATCTTTTTTGCTAGCATGGCAGCAATTTCTATGACGAGTAAATAGTAAACCTTCATGGTGTATTTAACTCTGACATCATCACAACGTTGGGAAATGTTTCATTCAATTCCATTTACTAACAGAGTGATGTAATTGTGGTCGTGTGTTCATCGCAATAAATTGCCATCTTGAAAACAACAATACTCATTGTAGTTGTGGTTATATCGCATAACATCTCTATTACAAATGGATGGAAGTGTAAGTGCTTGTAATTTCCGGCAGTGGGAGACTTGTGTTTAGAACTCATTCATGACAAGTTATACAGTAGTATATAAATTGGCGACAAGTGCATTGACATGTGTCATGTAATAACTGGAGACAGGTGCATTGACATGTGCCATGTAGTAACCGGAGACAGGTGCATTGACATGTGTCATGTAGTAACTGGAGACAGGTGAATTGACATGTGTCATGCAGTAACCGGAGACAGGTGCATTGACATGTGTCATGTAATAACTGGAGACAGGTGCATTGACATGTGTCATGTAGTAACCGGAGACAGGTGCATTGACATGTGTCATGTAATAACTGGAGACAGGTGCATTGACATGTGTCATGTAATTACTGGAGACAGGTGCATTGACATGTGTCATGTAATAACTGGAGACAGGTGCATTGACATGTGACATGTAATAATTGGCGACAAGTACATTGACATGTGTCATATAATAATTGGCGAAAAGTGCATTGACATGTGTCATGTAATAACTAGAGAAAGGTGCATTGTGATGTGACATGTAATAATTGGCGACAGGTGCATTGAGATGTGTCATATAATAATTGGCGACAAGTGCATTGACATGTGACATGTAATAACTAGAGACAGCTGCATTAACATGTGACATGTAATAATTGGCGACAAGTGCATTGACATGTGTCATGTAATAACTGGAGAGAGGTGAATTGACATGTGTCATGTAATAATTGGAGACAGATGCATTGACATGTGTCATGTAATAACTGGAGACAGGTGCATTGACATGTGACATGTAATAATTGGCGCGAAGTGCATTGACATGTGTCATGTAATAACTAGAGACAGATGCATTGTGATGTGACATGTAATAATTGGCGACAGGTGCATTGAGATGTGACATGTAATAATTGGCGACAGGTGCATTGAGATGTGACATGTAATAATTGGCGACAAGTGCATTGACATGTAATAATTGGCGACAGGTGCAATGGGATGTGACATATACTAATTGGTGACAGGTGCATGGACATGTGAAATGCAATTATTGGCGACAAGTGCATTGACATGTGTCATGTAATAATTGGCGAAAAGTGCATTGACATGTGACATGTAATAACTAGAGACAGGTGCATTGAGATGTGACATGCAATAATTGGCGACAGATGCATTGAGATATGACATATAATAACTGGAGACAGGTGCATTGACATGTGTAATGTAATAATTGGCGACAAGTGCATTGACATGTGTCATGTCATAACTGGAAACAGGTGCATTGACATGTGTTATGTAATAATTGGCGATAAGTGCATTGACATGTGACATGAAATAATTGGCGACAAGTGCATTGGGATGTGACATGTAATAATTGGCGACAGGTGCATTAAGATATGACATGTAATAATTGGCGACAAGTGCATTGACATGTGACATGTAATAATTGGCGACAGCTGCATTGAGATGTAACATGTAATACCTTGAGACAGGTGCATTGACATGTGTCATGTAGTAACTGGAGACAGGTGCATTGACATGTGTCATGCAGTAACCGGAGACAAGTGCATTGACATGTGTCATGTAATAATTGGCGACAGGTGCATTGACATATGTGATGTAATAATTTGCGACAAGTGCATATGACATGTGACATGTAATAATTGGCGACAAGTGCATTCAGATGTGTCATGTAATAATTGGCGACAGGTGCATTGACATGTGCCATGTAATAACTGGAGACAGAGGCATTGACATGTGTCATGTAACAAATAGAGACAACTGCATTGACATGTGTTATGTAATAACTGGAGACAGGTGCATTGACATGTGTCATGTAATAATTGGCGACAAGTGCATTGACATGTGACATGTAAAAATTGACGACAAGTGCATTGACATGTGACATGTAATAATTGGCGAGAGGTGCATTGAGATGCGACATGTAATAATTGGCGACAGGTGCATTGACATGTGTCATGTAATAACTGGATATAGAGGCATTGACATTTGTCATGCAGCAATTAGCAACAACTGCATTGACATGTGTCATGTAATAAGTGGAGACAGGTGCATTGAGATATGACATGTAATAATTGGCGATAAGTTCTTTGACATGTGACATGTAATAATTGGCGACAGGTGCATTGACATGCGTCATGTAATAATTTGCGAAAAGTGCATTGACATGTGACATGTAATAATTGGCGACAAGTGCATTGACATGTCTCATGTAATAACTGGAGACAGAGGCATTGACATGTGTCATGTAACAG